TTTTTCAATTATACTTGTAGAGTTTCTTAGTATGACAAGTCAACCAATTGATAATTAAATCAAATAGTTGGTAAGTATTACTAATGCTTCAAAATATTTTATTTTTACAACTTTTAATTTATATTTCATTTTTTTATGCAGTCTGCTTGAAATAAAGGAATTATTGATATGGATTACCGATATTTTAGTATTAGTGTCTACTTTTTGATATTTGTATACATTGAATTAATTTTATTGGATAACTTGTTATTTATAAGTTTTTAAATTGGGCTACATTTATTTGTAAAAATCTACGAATGAACATGTCATTAGTTATATTTTTCTAATGTTGCTGTAAATGTTAAAAAATTTAATTATGGTACGGAACCGAACCAAACCGAACCGAATCCGAACGATTCTATAATTGTATTTGGACCCGACGGTTCTATTTATTAAATACCCTAGAACCGAACCGAATCGAACCAACCAATGTCCAGCCCTAATTAATACAAACAAGCATCTAACATAAGGTGAAGCCCTATTACAATAAGTAAAATCTATAATGAAATATTTGATATGAAATAGGAGTTAAAAAGCTGCTAAAATAACGGAATTAGAATCCTAATTCACCTTAGACTTTTTCAAGACATATTCAAGTTTACAACCAACTCCCAATAATTATCCAACAGCATTTTCAATCAAATAAATTCAAGACACATCAAAATTCTAACACGAATATTAGGGATTAATAGGATTGGGAATTATGACAGAAACGAGATTTCAGGGTGTAAAAGTTTTAGAACTCAGAGAGCGAGAGAGTGTGTGTGTGTGTGGATCTTCCCAGTTGTTCAACATCTCTAGGGTTGACCCACATCTCCATTTTTTCCAAATCTACACAGTTGTATTTCACACACAGCTTAGCTTCGTGAAGCTCCTATATATGGACAACTCATTTCATAATTCATACTAGTCTTTCTGTCTTATTTCATAGTTTCCACTGTCTCCAATAACACTTGATTTATCCTTAGATTTACTTACAATAAAAAAATGGACAGAAGTTCCATTGATAGAAGTAAAAGTGTGATAATAGACGCCAAAACAGGTGCCGAAGCCGAGTCCGGCCGGAAGCTACCATCTTCGAGATACAAAGGAGTAGTCCCTCAGCCTAATGGCCGGTGGGGAGCACAAGTGTATGAAAAGCATCAAAGAGTTTGGTTAGGCACTTTCAATGAAGAAGAAGAGGCTGCTAGAGCCTACGATATTGCTGCACTGAAGTTTCGTGGAGGCGATGCCGTCACAAACTTTAAACCACTGTGCGAAACTAAGGAAGACGAAATTGAAACAGCCTTCTTGAATGCACATTCCAAGGTTGAAATTGTCGACATGCTTCGCAAACATACATACAATGACGAGCTTGAACAAAGCAAGAGAAGAAACTATGGTAGCCGAGATTGGAATTGGAAACGGGATGCCGGGATTTGCATCTCATTTGGTGATGCTAGAGCCCGAAATGCCCGAGAACTTCTCTTCGAGAAGGCCGTAACCCGTAGTGACGTCGGGAAGCTAAACCGTCTAGTTATACCAAAGCAGCACGCAGAAAAGCACTTCCCTTCGCAAAGTGGAAACAATTCTAAAGGTTTGGTATTGAGTTTTAAAGACATGGATGGTAAAGTATGGAGATTTCGATATTCTTATTGGAATAGTAGCCAGAGTTATGTGCTAACAAAAGGGTGGAGCCGGTTTGTGAAGGAGAAAGGCCTGAGGGCCGGTGACATTGTGAGTTTTCATTGTTCGACCGGGCCAGATAGGCAGCTTTACATCGACTCAAAGGTGAGGAATGGATCGACTGCCGGGATATCGAGCCAGCCAGTTCCCATGGTAAGACTTTTTGGAGTGAACATATTTGAATTACCAAGTAATGGTAGTTGCTATGGTGATAAGAGGTTGAGAGAAATAGAGGTTTGGACATTACAGTCCAGTAGCAAGAAACAAAAGGTAATTGATGCCTTGTAAATTTTGTTCTTTTCTTTTTTTTTTTCTTGTCAAGTTTTTTGGTTTATTTTGTTTTTCATTTCAGTTTTTAGAGTTGTTGCAAGTTCCAAAAGTTTAATTGTATATAATCAGACAAAAAGCTGAAGAGTACTGAGAAAATAATAAAGCAAAATGGAAATTTTGATGTCTACAATTTTGTCAATTTTTTAACCAGCTTTTACAATTGATAAGTTAAACGATATAGCTTAGTGGCATATTTGGTAAAGCGGACTAATCAGGGAAAAAGAATCAAAATCTTAATGTGAGAGGACGCATTAATTGTTAAATTTGTATACTTTCTCTTTTCTTTTTCTTTTTTTCCCCATTGATGGCATGTTTCATAGGTAAAGCTCACTAATATTGTATATAAATAAAGGAGAAAAATAAGTTAAATTCTTGTTTCTTTGATTTTTCTCGTGTACCTTATTTGAAAGTAGTGTATACCAAACATGCGCCAAATTAATGGTACTTTTGAGTCTGCATATATTGTAGGTATGCACTTGCTTACAAGCATTAATTTGGATTACTTATTTGTATTGTCGAATTGTATTTCTTTAAATCACTTTTTAGAATAATCCAACTGTAAAAATCTTGACATCTAATAATTTGGTTCATGATTCATTCTTGGAATTGGTTTTAGGTAACAGATTCGTGATCTGATTTCATAAAGAATTCAAAAATGTGCACTACAACGAAAATGATCTTTTGCAACACATAAAATGCAACATTCAATATTTAAGTGTTGCTAAAGGTGTCTATCGCAACATTCTAATAAGTGAATGTTACAATTGGTTAACATAATTGAGATTTGACAATACTTTTTAAATGAATATTGCTAATATCGCATTTTGCAACGTTTATTAAGTGTAGTGAAAAGTTTTATTTATTGAAATGTTTATTGGGTGTGGCTAAAAAAAATATTATATAGCAATGTTTGTTGACCGTTGCTAATACTTAGATTATATAATCTTTCGCAAATTTCGTTTAATGTTGCGAAGTGGTTATATTTTTGCAACGTTTTATAAATATTGCAAAAAGGTAAACTTATCGCAATGTTTATTAAACGCTGTTAATACGATTGTATAGACTAACTTTTCGCAATATTTTTTAAGTGTTGTTAATATAGACATTTCGCAACATTTGTTGAACATTGCTAATAAGGTTAAGTATGCTAACTTTTTGCAACGTTTATTAAAGTTGTAAAAATATGATTATATACAATTTTCGGGCCCTTTTAAAAGAGTCTATCACATTCCGCAAAAATATGATTACATACAAGGGGAACAATACACAAAACCTACATATAATAATTACCTTTCAAAACTAACAAATTTGTTTAATTAT